AGCAGGAAAGATCAAGTTCTCCAAATTGGGCTTTATCTGGAGAAGAAAACACAGAGTTGTCTCCATCTTACAGAACTGTAAAAATCTGTTCCTAAAATTCTCCTTTCCAGCTGCTACAATGCTAGAAAATTCCTTGTAGATTTCCTGATGGCTTGTAGGATTGTTCGTAAGTGTTGTAGAATTTTCCAAATGCATTTTTAGATTTGGAAAATATTTCAGCTGCCCACTTTCAAGGTTTCTCTCAAAAACCTGCAGTTTTCTCTCAACTGTTCTGATGTCACAAAACATCCTTTCTACTGTTTTCCCTAAATCTTGCAGTTTTTTGTTCAGTACATTGAAGTGTGCTGTAAAATCCGTAAAAAACATGAGGTTGGTAAGCCAGGCCATATCAGTGAGCTGTGGATATTCTTGCTCCTTTTCAGTCATAAACAGCCTAATATCATCCAAGCAGGCTACAAATCTCTCCAGGACTCATCTTCTGCTCAGCCACCAGATATTATTGTACATAAATAAAGTATTACACTGTGCCTGAACCTCATCAAGAAGTGCTTGAAACTGCTGAAAATTAAGAGCACGAGCCATGATATAATTCACCATTTTTGTGACATCTCTAAGGATATTGTCTAATTTTTTGCTGCTTTCCCTGGCACAAAGGGCTTCTTGATGTATAATACAATGAAACTGAATGACCGTTTTGACAAACCCAGACCTACTGGGATCTGCCACACGTTAACTAAGCTGCCACCAACCATTCCCTATAAGAAGTCACACAGACCAGGGATGGATTTTCAATAAATAAAAGAATAAGGTTTATTTAAAACAACACACAGGAAAATAAAATGATCAGGTGTATAAGATATAGTAACGTGGCTTAGTTTCACTCATACATACACACAGTTTGGTTCACACAGAACCCTTAACTTGAAGCACAGACCCTGAACCTATCAGTTCTGGCTAACCAACAGACACCTGAACCTATCAGGTTGGTACTCTGACACACAGTAGTACCCTGTCTGACACACAGACTCCCACACCAGCTTCTTCTTCCCAGCTGCTGCTTCTTCACATCCCAGCGTCTCCTACTTCACCACACAGGCTTCACATATATATACAGTACAGCCCCTCCTCCTGATGTCCCGCCTTCCACTCCCCATAGGATGGAACTTTCCCTCCAAACCCATGACAGACAGGTAACATCAGTGCTGTATGTAACAACCAGATGTTTTGCTTCTTTAACAAAGAAATGTATGAAACCAGATGTTACCCCCACCATGCAAGGTGTCCCGTCACTAGTAACTGAAGCCACTTTTTCTGCACTTATATCTTGTGACAAAAATGCCTCCATCACAGCATTGTAGATATCTCTCCATTGTGTTCTTCCAGGCAAAGCAACAGTTTCACCAGTTCTTCTCTCCTGATGTCATTTACACATTTTGTCTGTCTGGTACTTTATTGATTCCTTCAACTGACAGCTCTTTTACAAAGAAGTGCGGAATGCTACACTGAATTAAATGCACCCTATTTATAAAGTTTATTAAGCACATTGAAATCCTGGACTTGTTTCCTCCAAAGTAAACCACCCTCAGAAGCTAGCTAGATAGCTAGATAGCTAGCTAGCTAGCTAGCTAGCTA